ATAGATAGATAGATAGATAGATAGATAGATAGATAGATAGATAGATAAGTAGATAGATAGATAAATAAATAAATAGATGAGTGAGTGAATGAATGAATGAATGAATAAATAAATAAATAAATGGATAAATAAATTAATAAATGCTCTGAAGTTAAGCACAAAGTGCAAACAACCCTGTGAAGAAGAATCCAAATGGGAGCTAGCACCAAGATACTAGCTAACGCCCAATGTGGTAGAGTACGCCTTCAATCCTAGCACTTGGGAAGCAAAGCAGAGGCAAGCAGATATGATTCTGAAGCCAGCTTGGTCTAAATAATGTTACAGGTCAGCCGAGGCAATATAATGAGACCTTATCTCAAACAAACCAAAAGGAGATACTAGCTAAAAATTAGCCTAGACAGGAGTTCTGCAATCCTAATTAGTGGAGGACTGACAAGAGTCCAAATCCTACCCTGTTGATCTAGCTTTAAAAAAAAAATTATATGTTGAAATACTGTACTGTGCCATACTGACTGCATGTTTTATATATGTATATATTAATATATACAATATTAATATTATATATGTATATACCATAGATCTCAATAAAATTTTGGGTAAATTTTGATGAATACATTCATATACTAAAAGAAACCCCTGCAATGGAATCTCGGCTTTCCTGTGTGTACTTGGATTAAACAGGACCTGATTTTGCAAACGACAAGCATGATCTCTATCAGATCTCTCCATCAACCACCTGCAATCATCACTGAACTTATTTTTAGGTTTACTTTCTTCTTTATTTATTTGTGTGTGCCCTCAGAAGCCATGAGAACGTATCCAACTCCCTGGAGCTGGAGTTGCAAGCAGTTATGAACAAACCAAAGCTGGCGCTGGGAATCTAATGTAGGTCTATCTCTCTAGCCCTGTATTTTTCCAAGTGCATTCCTTAAAAACCACATCTGTAAGTTTATAACCAGGACTGAAGAAATGGCTCAGCTGCTCTTCTAGGGGACTGCAGTTTGATCTCCAGAACCCACAGTTGGCTCACAAATGCCTCTAACTCTTCTTGCCTCCTCAGGCACCTGACCTCGTGTGCACACACCCACACACAGACAGACATAAATATAAATTTTTTAATTTAAATTTATTTTATAATCAAAATCACTATTTTTTTTTAAAGATTTCTATCCAAAAGCTAGACTGCTGAGCTATCGCTCCAGCCCCAAGTACAGCATTTTATAAATTTCCTTTTTCTTCATGGATGACAGTCACAAAATTTTTGAAAGCTTCTTTAACCTTTATAATTCAACTAAATCAAGAAGATTCCTAAATTGAAGTTAAAAACGCATGCCTGTAATCCCAGTGTGCCTACTAGTTTTATGTCAACCTGACACAGTCAGCTACAGTCAAAGACGGAATCTCAATTGAGAAAATGCCTCCATAAGATCAGGCTGTTAGCAAGCCTAAAGGGCATTTTCTTAATTAGTAAGGGTCTAGTTCATTGTGGGTGGTGCCATCCCTGGGCTGGTGGTCCTGGGTTCTGGAAGAAAGCCTGGGAAAGTCATGGAGCGCAAGCCAATAAGCAGCACCCCTCCATGGCCTCTGCACCAGGCTCTGCCTTCAGGTTCCTGCCCTCTCTGCTTTTGATAATGAACTGTTATAGGGAACTTGAATGAAATAAACCCTTTCCTCCACAAGTTGCCCTTGGTCATCGTGTTTTACCACGGCCATAGTAACCCTAACTAAGAGAGACTCCCTCTCTTAGAAGGTGGAGGCAGGAAGAGTTCAAAGCCAGCCTGCAGTACAAAGTAAATCCTGGGCTAACCTGTACTGAGACATTGCCTTATCCCACCCGGCAAAACCAAACAAGACAAAACAAAACAAAAACAAAAAAAACACCACACTCCAAAAACAGAGCGAGGTGGGGATGGGTGGCCTCCAGAAGAAGGTTCCACCGTTCTAGCAAAGAGCGTCACGGAACTGTAACGACCGCCGAATGAGCCCTGTTCTCAGCTCGTGCGGCTGTCCCTACCAAAGCAAGGCGTCTTTCCCCGCTCCACGCCCTAAGACCCAGTTCCTAGCCCACAGAGGCCGCGGTGTCCCGGGGAGACCGCCAGCGTTCAACAATAGGGAATTGTAAAACTCTTGGCCATGCCCGCGCACTGTGGCAACCCGTTATCAGATGGCAGCTCGAGCAGCTGGTCCCCGGGCTCCAGGCCGCGAGAGGCTTGTCATCGCGCACAGCTGGGGTGCGGGGGGACCCGCGCAGGACGGGACGGGACGGCGCCCCGAGCGAGCGAGTGGAACCTAGCCAAGCAGACTGCGGCCTTTCAGAGCGCGAGGAGGACGAGCAGGTTCCCAGGCGAGGGGCAAGGAGGCTGAGCGGGCTCGGCGCAGGCGAAGGGGAGGGAGAAGCCGACAGCCTTCAGCTGCCGGGCTGTGCGCCCCCCGGAAGCAGACGCGCTCTCCCCGGGCCCCCCCCCCCCGGCCGACCGCCCATTCATTCACACCCCCACGCGCGCCCGCGCCGCCGCGAGGCCCGGCCTGAGGCCGCCGGTGCGCGCCGCCGAGTCCGCGAACCTGCCCCGCAGCTCGCGCCGGCCTCCGCGGCTACCCCGACGCCCGTACGCCGACGCCTGGGTCTCGACGGCCGCATCCCGACCGGAACCCCCGGCCACCTTACCGAGTGTGGCAGCTTGGCAGGCCCGGGCCCGAAGTTAATCACTTGCTTGACCGCGTCCATGGTGCTGAGGCGACAGCGACGGGAAGTGGCAGAGGCAAGAGACCACGCGAACTGCCCGCGTCTTCCTAGGCGAGGGCGGGGCGGGCTCCAGCCCGCAGAGTCGGCGCCCTATTGGTCGGCTGCCTCAGGCCGCGCGCTGATTGGCTCTTGCCCAGGAGCTCGCCTTCCCATTGGCCACGCTCACCATCCGAGCCTGCGATCAATTGCTCCTCCTGGAGTTTAGAATTTCAACCCGCCTTTGCGAACGCAAGAGGGCAGGGGATTGCACCAGCCGCCCGCGTGATGGGACGCCTTCTGCCTTCGTGCACCTCCGGGCACAGAGTCCCAGGTCCTGGCCTCTAGCCAACTGCGAGGTGGCTCGCAAGCCCATTGTACCTGGTCCACCCCACGCTGGGTTGGGCTGGGCTGGGCTCTGCTGCATTTGTTCCGGAGCCAGTCCCCCATTCGTGTTCACCAGACTTTTCTTAGACCCTCCAGTGTAGAGATAACTCACCCAAAGAAGCATGTGGAGGGTGACGGCTTGGAGGGTGAGGCCATAGGATTGTGACCCGGTGCACCGGATAATCACAGCGCTCAGGAGTCTGAGGCAGGGATGGTATGGGGAGGTCAGCCAGGGTCTACACAGAGGGACACTGTCTCGAAAAATAGCATTAAAAGCCTTTGCATTTGCACATGAGCTCTAACTCCACTGCACCATGAAAGGACAGAGGTGGCTAAGAGCGTTGGGGGCAGCCTGCCATTTCTACCCCTTTACCCCATCCTCAGCCAGGAGAGCCTCTTTCAAGTTGCTGATTCTCCATTCTCTTCATCTCTTTGATGAATTGAGGAGCAGGAATCCGAATTTTGGCTCTCTCTTGGCCGGATCTCCTCCAGCTGTGAGGATGTATTAACAGGAGTGTAATAAGCAAGCTGAATGCAGTCCGGACCAGAGGAATGTGGCCCTGAGCCTAGCGGGGCACAGGGCCAAATCTGTTCAAACTTTTCCACACAAGTTCTTTTTTCAAAAGAGTTGCACTAGAGGCTCACTTAGAATTCTGGAACACAAAGGCCCCTTCCATGCAAGGGTAGTTCTTTTGAAGTCCAGAACATTTTTAAAGCATTTTTTTTTACTTTGCAGTTTAACTCAGACTCCTTTACTATGAAAACATTTTTCCAAGTTCTTTCCTGCAATGGATGGCAGGAAAAGGCACAGTGCCTACTGAGTATTAACCAGAGCATCGGTGACCTCAGTTTGACAGGCTTGCAATCCAGCCTTTGGGGCATTTGGGCTCTTGTTTTTCTATAGCCCATAGAAGGGACATGGCTGAGAACAAAAACACTACTTTGAGTCTGGGTAAGTAAAGCAAAACTCTTAGAAAAAGCTGAATAGAGCAAGGTCATGGCCTTCTTCAGCACCTTCATTTAGAAAATTGCATAACTGTCTCATATCTTTAATCTCAGTACTCTGACAGTTGAGGTAGGCAGATCTTGAGTTAAAGGCGAGGCTGAACTACAGAACAAGTTCCAGGACAACCAAGGTTACACGGAGACACTCTGTCTCAAATAAATAAATAAATAAATATAGGAAAGAAAATTACATAACTGATCAGATAGCTCCAGTCAGATAAATAAGATTTGTCATAAACCCGCTGTTTTACGTAATACAGTGATTTTAGACAACACACACACACACATACATGCAGTTACTCTGCTAGAGCAGTGTTTGCCTTCAGTCTCTGAGTTCTAAACTCAAGTCCTCCTGTCCTAGAGAATGAACAGAGATGAGGTGGGATAGAAGGAAGGAAAAAGTAAAAATCCCACACACTGTGGTTTCTTGAATGGGCATCAAGAAACTCAATATAGAGCTGGAGAGATGGCTCAGAGGTTAAGAGAACTGGCTGCTCTTCCAGAGGACCTGCATTTAATTCCCAGTCCCAGGGACACTCACCTCTGTGCAAACAAAACACCTGTAGGCATAAAATAAAAAGTAATAAAAGTTAAAAAAAAAATTCCACACAACTAACAGAGCCAAAATTATCAACAGAGATAATGTGTGTTTTCCTAAAGACATCCCAAATACAGATACTAAAAACAGCCAAGTCCGGGTGGAGCTATAGCTCGGTGACAGAGCTCTTGCCTAGCACTCATGAAGCCCTGGATTCAGTTCTCAGCACCAGCTTGCTTAGAGGCAGAGGGTCTGTCACCAGAGCCAGCAAGATGGCTCAGAGGGTAGCGGTGCTTGCCACCAAGCCTGATGACCCGATATATGGCACCTATGCACCTCCCTACAGAATAAGTAAATAAATAAATGCATAAAAACAGAATGTCTATGACCTCTCACCCCTAAATTCAACAATGTGCCCCATAAAACTACCTTAAAACTCCATTATCAAAAGGAAATTCTTTAAGAGATTTAACTAAATGAACTCATGTTTACTTAATTTTTATTAAAAGTTCTAAGCTTTGCTTAATCTTTAAACTTTGTTGTAAATTACGGCCTGTGAACAATGTCATTTAGAGACACAGAATCATATATTCAGCCACTTCAAAGACACCTAAGTGTGACTACCTGTTTGGAAGCCCGCACCCCTGTCTTCAGTGTTCCTTACCCTTCTCAAACGTGTCTCTCTGTCTAAGTAGTTAATAAACTCACTGCTTCACTCTGGCTTGTCCTGGATTGTTTTCTGCTGCATAGTCAACAGTCTGGCTTTACCTGAGCAGAGGTCACTGAGGGAGAAGGGCTTCTTCAGGCTGCTGGTGCAGTGCCGGATCTCCCTACCCACTGACGGGAGATAATGACCACACATTTGTTTTGCCCTCTGTCCCCAGAAAATACGGCTTTTATCTCTACTGTCCAGTTTTATATGCCCGATCTATCTCTTAGTTTCCTACTACTCTTGGGCCCCTGCCAGAGCCCTCCGACAGAGTCCAACAGTACCTGAGTGGGGAGTAAAGATTAAAATAATTAAAACAAATCATACTACTCACAGAATCAGCTTGAGGGGGCTGTCAGTAATGACTGAAGCAGCGTGGGTTGATTCCAGGATTCATTTTTTTATAGGCAAAGCAAAAACAAGTCACATCAATACAAAAAAAAAGAAAAAAAGGATTCCAAACTTCTTTTCAAAAACTATTTCCCTATATTAGATATTGCCCAATGTCACACAGACAAGCTTTAAGGAACTTGGAACAAGTTTTTAAGGAACCTAGCAAAACTTCCTCTTTTCGCTGTCTCAGGGTGAAGGCCAAGGTGAAAACATAACAAAGCAGCTTAACAAGCAGCTCTCCACGGCCCCATAAGGGGCAGAAATGGTTAACATTCCATATGCTAAGATATGCCCTGTAGCCATCCCTCCCTGGGGGCCTGTGGTTTCCGGTACCGTAGATCATAGAATCTGAATTTAATGTCTTCCTTCCATCCCTGGAAAACCTCATTCAGTCTCCCATCACACACATATCTTAAAATTTAAATCTCTTTTTTTTGTTGTTGTAAATACCCCCCCCCCCCCCCCCCCGTCTATGCTTCTTCAAGATCTGCCCACAACCCTTAGGGCAGAGGCATATAAGCCACAAATACATGCCTCTAGGAACCACACAGGAAAAAGAATGAGGGAAGGGGCCATGGTAGACTGAGTACACACACCCATCTGTGGTGGGGTTCATAATGACCACCTTACATCTGTGCTCTTTATGCATAGAATGGAGCCATCATCAGGAAGTGGCTGTCCAGTGTCTGGTATACATCAGCTCCCCTTCTATCCAAGTAGCTGTGTAGTTAGGAAATCATCTATACATAATTTGTCATTTTGAGAGCAATGCAATTAAGAAATGGCTGTGTCTTTGCTTTCACTTTCCATTATAGCACAGGAGACTGGCAAGGCCCTCCAGGAAGGTGGAAGGCATCTCCTCAGCGACCAGTGCTCTGTTAACTAAAGAACTGAACATATGGGCTCAAATAGAATTCAAAAGCATTGAGATTACTTTACTCAGAGCACAGGACAGTCAGTGCAGATTACAGAGGGACTTGTTGCCAGGACTGACAGTGGGCCATAGGAGTTAAGAACACTCAAGGACCCTATTATTTGGGACTTTCTTTTATGGGGTTCAAGAGAAAAAGGATCTGGTTTTTAAGGGGCGTATTTTTGTGGTGCTCTAATTTGATTGACAGATTTGGTCATATATTTGTTTTCCTTAATTGCACATGTCCTTTTTCATAGCGCACCATGGAACACATGGTAGAGCCAGATCCTTTAGAATGGCGTCTCTGATGGTTAAAGGGTTCTTTGAGACCGTGGCACCAGCTGTCTCAGTTAACAGACTGTTATATACACGAGAGCTAGAGTTGTGATTCATCTGGTTGTTACCAGGTGAGCAAAGAAGATTGTACAAGCTACCCTCCAGAGTGATAGAAAAGCCAGAACACCCGATTTTATGTGGCGTCTGTCTCCTAATTTACATTTTATTTTATTTTGAACAAAACCTTTCTATGTAACCCAGAATAGCCTCAAACTCATGATCTGCATCCTCCTGAGTTCTGCGAGTACAGTACTATCACACCCAATTTTCCAATTTTTAAACAATTAAAACTTTAAACTTCTGCTAAGCCTTGCATTTTGTGAAGGGCAAAATCCACATTACATTCAGTGCTGAGACTACTGGTTACAAGTTGTATACAGTCCTGCCTGGAATTTTCCCCTGTAAACAGGGATTATGCCCAACTAATTGGTTAAATATGGGATTGGGAGAAGAGAAAATATGGAGGGAAAGAGAATTTAATCTGCAACATTATGTTACAATGCCTGTTTTGCAAAGAAGATGTAGAACGGGAGCCCAGGGCGCAACCTCCATTGTGTGGGACCCTCCCTTCTATGTAGACAACATAGAAAGGAAGCTTCCCTGTGAGGTGTGTGATTTCTACAATGGCAGAGCTTTAGTTACACACATATAGTGTATTATTCTTGAGCTGTTAGTACATATGAAAAATGCTCAGATCCACTGCCTCACATCTTGATGCACAAACAAACAATATAGGAGAGTGAGGAGAGAGAGAGAGACTGGAAATGGTGCAAGTCTTTTGAAACCT